GGTAACTAATAAGAAGTCATATTTGACTACTTAAGTACTAGTGATGTGTACTGAATTTTTATTTAATTGTAATTAATTTTAAATTAAAGTCAGATGTGGATAGTAACTAGTGAAATTAGTAATGTTGTTTAGATAAGACTTCAACCAGATAACTCTTTCAGGTCTGGGACCCACAAAGCTTTAGAAAAATACAACCAGCCTCAACAATGTAATGGTTACTATTAGATGACAGGTATCATATCTTTAATATGCATCTGCTCCCACAAAGATTTATAACCTCGAAAACCCAGGTCGCTCTGAGTCGGAACTGACTTAATAACACTTAATAACAACAACACGATAAATAGGACCTAGAAATCATCTGCCTCCTTTAACTGAGTATGCATCCTTGCTCTCCAGCTTCCTTACTGTTATGTCCTCAGGTTCTACCACAGTGACCAGGCCAAAGTAGATACTCAAAACATGTTTACTTAACAACTAACTTCCCCATTGCCGAAGAGTCCATTCCAATTCAAAGATTCATCACCCTAGAAACACTGTGGGGCAGTTCTATTCTGTCCGGTGGGGTTGTCATGAGCCAGAATCAATTCTATGGCAACAGGTTTAGCTTTTGTTTGTTTTTTGTTTTCATCTTTAAAATGGTTACGTCTTCCTCTTGCAGAACTGTTTCTCCAACCTTCTAGGTAATAGCCAAATGCTTAAGCACTGTTCTACCAGATCTCTCTATAAAAAATTAGTATTAGACAGGCTAATTTACTGAATCATTTAATCTTTACAACATACTACGAAGTAGGTACTATTTTTATCATCCCCATATTATAAAGGAGGAAACGGACACAGAGTTTAAATAACCTGCCTAAGGTTAAAAAGCTCATAATTACAGAGCTGAACTACAGCCCAGAGGCTATGCTCAGATACCTCTCCAGGCTGCTTTTGCCCTAAAGATCAAATAAACCAGATTCCTAATGATTCAGGTTACATCTAAGAATTGATTTATTAGTCTATGTTGTAAGTACAACATTAAGCATGAATATTAATGACATTAATGTCATAACAACATTCATATTTTCTGGCCAGTCATACACACTTATGTAATCTCCCACATATTTGACAGTTTCCAGATACCAAGACCATTAAACTTTTTCTTTTTTTTTAATTTAAGGTTTTTTTTATTGTGGATTGAGTGAAAGTTTACAG